CAGAAATGGGATTGATTATTCAGAATATGATTATTCAATGAAGAATCCTCCCATTTATCAAATTTACAGCTCCGAAAAGGGAAACAGATTCCTGCGAGCTTATAAAAGCCCAGTGCTCATCGCCAAGGGTGAGCTGTTTATCTGCTCAGGGGCACATGAGAGGTTCGAGTCCTTCAGAGGGAGAAGCTTTTATCTAATTCTGATTGTTATTAAGATATGACCATGCTAGGAAACAAGCTCATTGTGAACTCAAAAGCATTTACGTCCTTCATCACTGTGAATTTTTGTTTATTAGAATATGAGTCTAGGAAAGCAATGAAGTCTTGTAGTCATTAGAAATCTCACTGTTAAAATGTCTGTTAAATGAGGCAACACTGTCAGAGAAGACACTGACGAAGTCTTAATTGTGTGCTTGACTTTTAAAAGTCAACATACAGTAAAATCAAAATTTACTTTCATAATATATTAACAATCTTTTGTGCACAATTAATAATTGCACAATATTTCAAAGACAAAAAAAATGAATTGTTTTAATCTAAATTACTTTCCATTTCGTCTGATGTCACCTAGGCCGCGCAGGTGGAGTATAATCATGTTAACCAGTGTAAAAAAATATATTCTTTGAAGTTGTAAATAAAACAAAGATTATTGGATTGTTTTACGAGAAAATACTATTTCAGTTTTTCAACTTCAAAAAAATGTGTTACATGGCATTTCTTTGTAATTGTTTATGACATTTAGTAGAAATGTATGAGTGAAAACAATAAAAGCAAGCCGGTTACTATACCATTTTTCCCCCAGCTTAATAGCTATTTAGGGGCTACCGATGTAGTGAATATCATTATTTCTGTCAGGACCACTATCGCCAAAGATGATTGACAATTAGCATACAGTTTGGATTGGCGGTATGGTTCTGTTCTGGGCAAGAACTCCCTGCGCCTCCATGCAGCCTAGCATGGATGAGAGCAGGGAGAGCAGCAATAACCCCCCAGGGTAAACAGAACAGAACCAACATAAATGTATTGCAGATATTGTTAAAGTTCAATCATTTTATGTACACATTTTAGAATTAGTCTGATTCAAGGAGAATCAGAAGGCTGAATCCCAACTGACAGAGGAGGAGTTGGGGATGGAGGAGGGTAATTAGCTATTGAGCAATGCGAAAACTGCTGATAATACTGAGGGACCTTATATATGAATGCTTAGATAGGTGTCATATTCCCATAGGTAGATGGGGATCAGCTGAAGGTCAGCTGATGCGAGCTTGACTAACGTGACCTGCCAGAACTAATGCTACGCTTGATATAATCTTCCCCATTGTTAATGAAATAATTTAATGCCATTTATTAAAGGTGCACGCAGTAGCCTAACTGTAATCAAATCTCCAAAGACAAGATCATATTTTAACCCTACACTGTAAAAATAATTTTATCAAAGTTCTAACTTAAAAAAAAGAGTATGTTTTAAGAGAAAATAAGAGAAAATTTATTTCAATCTGTTAATTGCTGTTTTTTGTAATGTTTTGGGAAATTTGCAGCAAATTCTGAGTGAAAATTGTTTCAAAACCAATGCCATGAGTAAATGATGACAGAATGTCCATTTTAGAGTGAACTATGCCTCAATTGATAATTCATCTAACAGTACAAAAGTAATTAAAATCAACTCAGCCTAATCAAATCTCTGTGATTTCCATCCCAACGTTTCCTATGTCAGTAACACTAACACTAAGAGATCAGCTAAAGTCGACATAAAAACAACATTCACAACTCATTTTACTGAGTACCATATTTTTTACTTTAAGTCTCTTATGCTCACCAAGGCTGCATTTATTAGATCAAAAACACAGTAAAAACAGTAATATTGTGAAACATGATTGCAATTAAAGATAGCTGCTTTTACTTAGTAAATTTTAATGTCTTCTGTGTTCCACAGAAGAAAGAAAGTCATACAACGACGTGAGTGATGACAAAAGTTTCATTTTGAAGTGAACTATGCCTAAAATGATCAGTCAACTATCAGTCAAAGGTAATTGAAACAACTCAACAGAATCAAACCTCTGTGGTTTCCATCCCAACATTTCCTACGTCACTAACAGGCCCTGTTTTTTCCCTCTGTGACAGATCAGAGACTGCAGTTCAAAGGGGTTTTAACTCTGATCCTTTACATCCTGTTGCTTTGGCAGTGTGAGAATTTGAGACCAAGACATTCCTGCAAATTCTTCTGGGTACAGAAGAGCATCTGGCTGTAATGTCTGCAAGGAGACAACTGATATCAATAACAATGCAAATCTTAAGCAGATCAGGAAATAAAAATCAACTAACAAAGCGTGCACCAAAAATTATAAAGTATAAGGCAAGTTAGTCAGCCAACACACACACAAAGTCCAGCTCTACTCAGATGGCGGGCACATATCCAGCGTAAACAGTCCTTTACTAACAGAAGAATGTTTTATTCATGAGTGCAAAGCCATCTCCACACATGAGCTATTATATTTCTCAACCCTCATTTATAGCTCTCATGTGTGACGCCCAGATAACAGGGGAAAATTGCCTGGAGGGCTGAGACGACACCGCAGGAAGTAACGCCGGCTATCATAACACCCAGCTGGAGGGATGACAGAGAAAGAGACATTTATCAACGCAGCAGAGGCACCTTTCAACACACGCCATGTACATCTCAATGCAGCAGCGCACCTTCACAATCACTATAGCGCCTGACATTAAGACAGAATCTAAAGATATTCTGGGGACTAACCGGAAGAGGTGAAGCTTAAGATGAAAAAACAAAGCACAACAGCAGTTACTGCCATGCCCACCCACACACACACCTTGCTGTGCCACTGATCACTGCTTTTAGGAACTGTGGGAAAGCATGTGCACAGAATGCTTTCAGTAAAATACATGTTTAGAAAGGAAAATGTTAAAGGGATAGTTCACCCCAAAAATGTTTACTCACCCTAATGTCTTTCCAGACTTGTATGACTTATTTTCTTTTGTGGAGCACATATTTTGAAGAATAATTTAACTGTTTTTGTCCATACAGTGTAAGTCAGTTGGGTCTAAAACAGCACTGGACCCCATTTACTTGTAAATAAATAAATAAATATGATATATATATATATATATATATATATATATATATGTGTGTATATATAGTGTATGTATACTGTATGTATATTTTCTGTATATATATATATATATATTCTGTATATATATATATATATACATATACACAGAATATATATACACACACACATAAGAGAGAGGGAGAGAGAGAGAGAGCGATGTCTT